GCAGACCCTACCCCGCAGAGCTGAGGCAAGAAACATTAAAACCCCAGCGGGGAAGTGGCCGTGAAGGAGAGAGCACTCGGAAGAACAGAGAGTGCTAAAAACGGGCAGCGAGGACAGGAGTAAGAAAACGAACCAAAATGAGATGGACATGAAGAGGGAAAAAGGAGCAGCGAGACAACGATTCATCAGAGAAGGTAAAAGAAACACAGTATCCCAGAATCTTCATGGAAAGAGACAATTCCAGGAAGTTTCCAGAAAGCAAGCAAGAGTGGGTCTCTACGTTGAAGGCAAAAGTGGCACAGAACGTTCAATTCTAAAAATAACTGTTTTCCGGGGTGCATGGGTGGCTCAGTCAGTGGAGCGTGGGTCACTTGATCTCGGCTCAGGTCCTGACCTCGGGGTCGTGGAACCGAGCCCCGCGTCCGGCTCCGCGCTCGGCGGGGAGTCCGCTAGATTTTCTCTCTCTCCCTCTGCCCCTCCCCCTGCTTGTGCTCGTGCGCTCTAAATAAATAAACAAACAAATAAAATCTTTTTTAAAAAATAAGCGTTTTCTTAGCTGCGGCCCCTGGACCTGTGCGGGCGGCGGGCGGCGCGATCTCAATTCCCTTACCTCTGAAACAAGGTGGCGCTCTCCGTTACACAACCGCAATGAAGGTTTTTGTGGTCTTGAAAAGTTGCTGGTTTGTGCTTGTGCTGTCTTCTCGGTGCCCTCAGTCTGTCCTTGCTTCCGCGGCTGTCCCGGCCCCAGTGACAGAGCTGGCGGGGACGCGGGGCGCGCGCCCCCCCACCCCGGCGGGACCGCGGGCGAGGGACGCGAGGCTCCACGCAGCCCCGGGCGGCCTCGCTTCCGGGCGGGCCGGGTGCGGGCCGCTCACCGGTCACACCGCCCGCGGCTACACCTGTGAGGAAGCCCTGCAACAACCCGGAAGCCGGGTTAGGCTCAGCGGGGCTCCGAGGCGCTAAGTCCCTCCCTTTCTCCCTTCTCTCTTCGTCGACCATCCCTTAAACATTTTGTCTTGTACCTTAGGCCAGTCTTCAAATAGGGGGAGATACCCTGTAACACAGCTGGATTCGTTGTTTTTCATTCAGATCAACTCCGTTCTTCAGTACCTGAAGCGTTACAGCTGTGTGGCCTCGTTCCTTCTCTGCGCTCCCCAGAGGGGTTCTCTCTCCTGAAGGTGATGCCCGGCACCCCCATGCTGCTTCTATAGAGTTTCTCTGCAGAAAAGGGCTTATGTGAAGCTTGCCCCCCCTTTTTTTGAAGTCAAATCGACATAACATAAAGCGAACCATTTTAATGGGAACAGTGCACCCACAATGTTGTGCAACTATCACTTCTGTCTAGTCCCAAACGTTTCCATCACCCCCAAAGGCAGCCCTGTGCCTGTCCAACATCTGGGCTTTCTCCCCCATCCCCCCTGCGCCCGGCAACACCCATCTGCAGTCTGTCTCTGGGGACAGGCCCCTGTTCTGGGCATTTCATATGAATGGACTCATACAGTGGGTGACCTTCTGTGTGTGGCTTCTCTTGGCGTGTGTTCAAAGTTCATCCCCCTGTAACACCTATCAGTACTCACTCCTTTCTGTGGCTGAATAATATTCCATTGTATGTACACGCCACTGTGTATCCACGCATCCCCTGATGGACATCTGGGCCGCTTCCATCTCTTGGCTATGGAGGAGAGTGCTGCTATGAACATGGGCATATATGCACTGAGCATGCCCCCCCCTTTTTTCATGATCAAAAAGTTTTATTATAGAACTAGTAAACACTTCGATCTAAAGGTGGAGGGATGGGCAAGGGCTAAAACCTAATAAACTAGGGAAACATATTTATTACATATATGAGAGACAAGTAATTAGTCTTGATTAATAGGCAGGTTTTACAAATCAATAAAATGTTGGTTCAGTGAGGAGGAAACTGCAGGTTTTCTCAGACTCTGATCCCCTACGGGCAATGTGGGAGCGGAAAAGCAGCAGACTATAAGCCCTCATTCTCTTGACTGGGCACATCCTCAAGCCCATCAGAGAAGGGTCCGATTTCATCATTTTAAGGGAGAAACAGGCCCAGGAAGATGGAGTGATTGTGTCAAGACCCCACAGCCAGTCAGGACCAGAGCAGATAAAGGGCAGGTCCCTGACCTCTGTGTGAAAATGTACCTGTGGGGTTTTAGTTTATGTAGGAGACTGCGTTGACAGAGAGAGGTCAGTGCTAGTCGGACTACTGACACTTCCCAAGAGAAGGAGCCGTGGGCCACCACTCGGGGCAGAGGAGAGAACAGAGAGGTCGCAGTTTTTATTGGGGTCCGCGTGGGAAAAGCACCGCCGGGCAGGGGAAACTCCTGAGGGTGGGCTACGGTGAATAATTCCGACAGGCTTCGGACAGGGGGCCGTCCCTAGTGGTCTGGTCCCCGGCCCCGGGTGATCTGGGGCAGGGGACACAGTGGTCTGCGGTGTGACGTACAGAAAGGAGGCCTTTAGGGGAATGAGCTCCAGGTTGGTTGGAGAGTCTGCCGTGTGATTTTCGCGTGCCTTCCAAAGCTGGAACGCAGGGGAGGTGTAACTAGCTTCGGCCATGACTTCAGCCCTGTCAGGACTGGAGGCCAAAGAGGCAAATACGGAATCTAAGAGAACACAGCGTGAAGAGCCCTGGCGCGCTGCTCCGGGCGCTGGCCACGTCGCGGCTGGAATGAGCCGCCCTGTACGTCCCAGTTTTTTGCTTCTTCCTCTTCATCCCGCTAACCCCAGGCAGAGTGTTGGTGGTTTCCGGGCCTCTGCTCCCCCAGGAGAAGGGCAGACACCCAGATCCGGAGCCCCGAGCAGCCACCATCGGAAGTGGGTGACCCGGCCCCCGGGGGCCGCGCGGAGGAGGCGGGGCGCCTCGGCGGTCAGGCACCTCCCGCTTGATCTTTATCTGGCGGGGCGGGGCGGGGCGGGGCGGGGCGGGGCGGGGCGGGGCGGGGCGACGCGCCCTCTGGTGGCCAAGCGCAGAGCAACTCAGTTCTAAATTCCACTTCAAGACCAAGCTTGAAGCCCGGTTTTCACGGCATCGGCTCCTCCGGGATTTCTCTTTCTCTGTTCGTGCCCCTCGTGGAGTTCAGCCGGGGGCTGGTTGATGTAGATGTGTAAATCACATGTCCACTATGCACAAAGCACCGCTCCCCCCCCTTATAAATGGGTCAGGTACTGAGTCGCCTCACCCCAATACCAGCCCCCCATGAGCTCACCAGTGAGACAAAGGTGCAGTAAGTATAGTAAAGGGGGCAGAGTGTGGTAGAGGTGAGGCTGAGGCCGGAGGGGGGAGCTGGCGGAGGGTCGGTGCAGCCAAGCTGAGCTCCGAAGGGGGTCTGGATTTCAGTCGAAGGAGGGGACGCCCTTTCCAGGTGGGAGGGACAATGTTCTCTGTTCTCTGGTCCCTGCCCAGTCATCTTTCTCGCCTCTCAGGGGAGTCCCCCAGTCGCGATTCCTTCAGATGGCCCCTTTTTGGAGGGACGTGGTGGCCGCTCCCATCTCCTGCATCTTGTCCCCCCACCCCGCCCCCCTACAACCTGATCGTGCTGTTAAACATCCTCACAGTTCTCCACGAAGCTGAACTCCTCTGAGCTTACAGACGGGCCTCTGAGGACGATTTCACTCAGACAAAAAGGTTTTGCTTCTTTTAAAATGCTTTGCACATGAATAAAATTGGCGTCCTCTCGAGTGTCTTTAAGCTCCAGACTGCAAAGGTGAGGGATCTGGACCCCAGCCCTTGTTCTCCCCCTGCTGTCACAGGAGCTCCTTCTTGCCTCCCTCTATTTGGAGATTGTTTTTTCCTCCACTCCCCAGCCGGCCCCTCCCCGTGGATCCAGAAGACCTCAGACAGAGCTGCCCCCAGGATTCCGGGTCCAAGGCAGTAGTTGTTGGAAGGATTCTCCTCGGGATCAGGGCCGGGGAAGAGCCCACCTATGGTCGAGGAGACCCTGGGTTCACAAAGAAGCCAGTTCACCATCATCAGCCTCATTATGATTGTTGTTTGTCCTGTGTTACTCCTGCTCCTACTAGAAAGTGGGCTTGGGTCCGTCATCTGGCCTGCAATAAGACGACTGACCACAAGGGGGCAACAGGAGGCAAAACAGCTGAAAATAACGCAAAATTGGCAGCCCTCAGTGCGGATCACAGAATCCTAGGAAGAGAAGGACCCTCTGCCCCTGCCCCCAGAGTGCATCCCAGAGAGAGAAGCCATGAGGCCTTGGCTGGTCAGGAGAGTGGGACAGAACTAAAACCCCAAAACCCTGTTTCCCCCACACCTAGCACACTATGGCTCGGGCCCTGACTTGGGCTGGCTCAGAGCCGTCTGGGGGTAGGGAGTTCATCACCTCCCCATCCCCCATCCTTCTTAGCACTTAGGCTGTGGGGCGCTCAGGGTGGTTCATGGAGCTCCCCTCTAACGGAGGAGCCAGGACTGACAGACCCGCACAGTGGTCATCTGGGAGAACAACCCCATCACAGCGGGCTGCCCTCTGGTCTCTAAGAGCAGGAGGAATCAGAGCAAGAGAGAGAACCCGAGGGGCAGCTTCTTGGGGAAGGCCTCCTGGAGACTGCGCTCATCCCTCGGACACCGCCAGCTCCCCGGCCTGGGCCTCTCTCACCAGGACTGTCTCTCACCCCTCATGTGTGGTCTGCAGTGGCCATGTCCCCCTCTCAGCCTCAAGTTTCCCTTTCTGGCCTGGACGGGGCAGGACCAGATGTTCTTCCAGTGTGACAGACTGGGTGGCCAGAACACACTGACCCAGACTAAGGTATGAAGAGAGAGACTTTTTCTTTTTTTTTTTTTAAGATTTTATTTATTTATTTATTTATTTGAGAGAGCACGAGCAGAGGGAAGAGGCAGAGGCAGTGGCAGAGGGAGAAGCAGACTCCGCACTGAGCAGGGAGCCCGATGTGGGGCTCGATCCCAGGACCCCGGGATCATGACCTGAGCCGAAGGCAGACGCCTAACCGACTGAGCCACCCAGGTATCCACGAAGGAGAGACTTTAATCTGGGCTCTTTCTGCTATGGTTCCAGTCCAGAAAAGGGGGCAGGGTCCCCTTTGTCCTTGTAGGACCTCCCCTGGACTCAGGCAGCTCGGGGTTGGGGTAGTGAACACTGAGGCTGGAGGTCTCCAAATGGTCCAGGCAGAAATCAGGATTCTTGGAGCCCAGGGTGCCGCATGCTTTTTAAATATCTGACTGCCTTCTTCACCTTCGTGTCCTTGGGGTCTGAACAGATGGACTTGTTGTGGACAGTTACAAGCCTACACGAGAGAGAGGAACCCGTCAGCAGGTGTCAGGGCAAGAAGGCCTTCCGGAGCCCTGGGATCAGCCTTGCTCTGCACTGACCAGGACCCTGAGGCCCCAAGAGGAGCACCTGGAGTCACACACAGCACCTCGGTGACAGATCTGGGACATCAGGCTTGCCGGCAGTGGTCTTGACTCCCAAGGTCCCTGCCAGTCCTTCCCAGGGAGCCAGGACTGCAGGACGTTCTGCCCCCCCACTTCAGCTCGCTCACTTCCATCGAAAGCCTAGGAACTAGGGGTGCCCAGGAGGCGCCCAGCTCAGGTCCAAGCTGTGGGAAGTGACCACAGCGGTCACTCTGAGTGCCGGTGTGACATGAGGCTGCCCTGTCTCTCGGGGCCTCAGTTTCCCCATAAATCGGTGAAGAGGTTGAACCTCATGGCCTGGGGCCTTTTGGGACTCACAGAGTGGGGTGCAGGAGCTGCTGTGAGGAGCAGGGTCGGGGTGGGAAGGGGGCCACGAAGTCCCCACTCTCTCCTCTCCCCAGTGGCCCTTCTGGGAGCTCTAGGGGCCACCTTCTCCCAGACTCAGCTCCTAGGAGCACAGCTAGGGGGAAAGGGGAGGGGGCCGGGCACACTTACACAATGGCTTTCTTGGGACAGTCCCTTGAGGTCTTGTACCACATTTTCAGCCTTTTGAGAGGAACGGCTCCTTTGAAGTACTCGAGGCAGCACTCCCGGCCCACATTGGTCCCTTGCACTATGGAGAAAGGAGGCAGGAGCGGGTGTGTCTGTGAGCGACTTTGTGTGTGTGTGTGTGTGTGTGTGTGTGTGTGTGTGTGTGATCACAGTGGGTCCGTGTGTGTGTTTGGGAGTCTCTCAGAGGGGAGTGTCTTGTGAGCGTCTGTGTGTGTCCGTATGTGCACATTTGTGTACCTGAGGAGTCTGCCCTTTGGGGATCCCTGTGGGCTTGTAGGTCTCTCTGTGCATATATGTGCGGGTGTTTGGGAGGGTTTGTGTGCACAGGTCTCTCTGTGTGTCTGCCTGTTTGTGTCTGTGTGTGTCTGTGTGTGCATCTGTGTGTGGACACACTTGTGTGTGTGAGGTCTCCTGTGTGCTCTGGGGGACCCTGAGTGTTTGTATGTGTGTGCACACATCTCTGTGTGTGTTTGGAGGAGTCTGTGTGTATATATTGGTGTGTGTCTATGTGTGGCTATGTGTGTCTGCATGTGTGTGCATCTGTGTGTGCACACACTCAAATACCAGCCCGGAACCACCCAAGAATTTCCTCTGGGCCAGGCTCTGGGCTGAGCCTCTGCCTGCAGGAGATCATTCAGCCCTCACGGTGCACCCAGAGACAGGTACTACCACTACCCCATTTTACAGATGATTACATGGAAGCCCAAGGTGCAAAAACACTTTCCTGGGCCTCAGCTTCCTTCTCTTTGCACAAGAAAAAGTTTCCAACATTTGCAAATCGGCAAACCGGTGATGCGTGGCTTTAATCAATGCTACGCTCGAGTGTTTTCTAAGAAGCCCCCAACTGTCCTCCGGCCATCTCGGGGGTATAATTGGGTTGGACTAACTCACAGAGCTACCCTGACCTGCGTTTTACAGAAGTGAGAGCCACGGGTGACGGCTGTGGCGCTGTGGCCAAGTGGGGCGCTACAGCCGTGTTCCCACCTTGGCTGTCTTATTTCGGCCTTTCTCTTCCGCCTGCGGATAGACAGCTCTCCCTTCACGTGCTCTGGGAACCGGCGCTCCTGCCTTCCTGCTGATGCCCTCAGTGTCGAGAAAGACCCGGGAATAAAACAGCCGCTAACCAATGCTTCCGAGTATAGGTCATGGTCCGCTGTCAAAACCCAACCCAGGTCATTGGCTCTCAGTCACTGCAGAGAGAGACGGGCCAGCACTTTGCTCCTCACTGAGCCGATCCACAAGCTCTGGGGTGGCATCCTCCCTATGCCTCACCCTTTTCCTTTGAACGCCTCCCTCAAAATCCTACTGCTGCCAGCCTCCCCGTCCCTGGAGGAATAGCTGGGCTGTCACTAATGCATAAACACCAGTGGGCACTGCAGCCATGATCTTGGTGCCCCTGCCCCTCCTGACCCAGGCCACCTCTCCTCGGCTCTCACCTGCGTGGGTGACCTGCAGAGAAGCCCCCAGGAGGAGCATGACCAGGAGCAGCATCTTCAGGGGAGTCATGGTGCCAGGAGCCCAGGAGAGGACCTGTGAGTGTAGGTCCTTCTGCTCGGGGGGAGGTGAGGATGGCAGCCAAGTATGGAGGTGACCTATTTAACCTCTTTGGGGATCTTGCCCCACCTCCTGTCACCTCCCCCAGACATTCTTCACTACACCAGTGGAGTCTGAAGATTTTGAGATGATTCAGCACAAGTCGAATCTTGGAATGTTTGTGGCTTTCCAGAGAATGGACACTCCGTCGGGGACAGAGGTGGGGTATGTGTGTCCGGGGGCCATGACAGTGACATACTTCTCCTTTCACAGGGACATTTCTTGGTTCCTCTATTAAGCAGAACTGAAAAGCCTCTATCCTAAACCGGGTTGGCCTCTGCCCTGAGGCTAGTGAGCCTCCTTCGAGCATTGTGTCCTGTATGTGTGGAGGGGGAAGGGGACGGCAAGAGAGGAGCCACGAGGGGCTGCCTAGCCTGGGCCTGGAGGAGCTCCCGGGCTCCAGGCGGGCCTCCGGGGTGGGGGTGGGGGCTCAGCAGGCTGCATGGGCACAGGGCGTCTTTCAGGGCGTACCCCAGCTCCACTCATTCTGAGAAAGGCCCAGGGCCCAGATGACTTTGGTTGTGGGTGCTTCCCCAAGCTGGGCCCTGAACCACAGGAGACCAGAGCCTGACAGGTTTTAATCACCATTTAGTCCAAATTAGCCCCTCTATGGATCGGGAAGCCCAGCTACCCAACATGGGGCCCCTCACCCCGGGTGGCAGCGATCTGTGAGGGCCCAGTCTGCAGTGGACATGTGGTCAGGGTCCAACGTGAGCCGTGAGCAGACTTTCCATGCACCATGGGCCACAGCATCCCTGCATCGGGCCCCTCCCCTGGCCACCAGAGAAAATGGCCAATGGTCTGCTCCGGGCTTCCCTGGGCCGGGTGTTAGGAGTCCCTTCCCCAGGAGGGAGAAGGGCCCGATGCAGGGATGCTGTGGCCCATTTGGACTAAATGGTGATTAAAACCTGTCAGGCTCTGGTCTCCTGTGGTTCAGGGCCCAGCTTGGAGAAGCACCCACAACCAAAGTCATCCGGGCCCTGGGCCCTTCCCATGCCCGCTTCCAGGTGGCAGCATCTCAGCAGGGTGACCCCGGACCCTGGTTCTGACAGGTGGGACCCGGGCCCAGCTCTGCTCTGTCCCCGAGTGGCCAGGAGCCGCTCAGATGACACCCGGGCCTGCGCCATGGGATGCACGTGTTCCTCTCGCCACAGCCGGCTCTGTCAACCTGGGACCATTGTTACAACTTCATCAGCAGGGATGGTGACCACAGCAGGTGCTGTCTGTGGAAAGCCACCCCGATGGGGGGAGGGGTGGTGCTCAGACTGTCACCCGCCAGTCCTCGCAGGGCTCCTCCTCCTCCCCCCCCCCCCAGGGCCACCTTGGCAGGCTGGGTCCCCTTCTCGTCCTGGCCAGGGGAGTGCCCTGTCCACGGCAGGGCGTCCCCTGGGCAGGATCGTCTGTCACCGTCTTGCTGTGTGCCTTTGGGCAACGCACAGACCCTCTCTGGGCCTCACGTCATCACTAGTAGAGGGATGTTTGGACTGTCCCAGGGGGCCCCACCAAAACGGCAGATCTGACATAGCTTGGTCCTCTCAGTGGCTCTCACACCAGCATTTCCTTGCTTCTCTTAGGGTCATGTCCCCCACTCCTCAAGCCACAGCCAGGGGGGTTTTTTGCCCCCAGCCTGTTTGGCTGGGCCATTCTTCCTGTCTCTGGGACAGGCTGCAATTTGCATGTGCAGCAGAGGGGATGGGAGGGGAGTAGGGTCTTCCTGCCTGTGCTCATCTTGGGCACCCAGCTTCCTGCACAAAGTGGGGACAACCTCCACCCCAAACAGAGAAGCACCGAGCAGGCCCCATCCTGAGGAGTCAGAGGAGGCCAGCCTGGACTGGGGAAGGGGTGCTGGTGCCCTCGTGAGCCTGCCTGGGAGAAGACCACTCTGGCCTGGGGAAGACCTGGGCTCAGAGGAGATGCAAACACCCCGAGGTGGTTGGGGAGGGCCTGGGTCCCAGGAGGGGCAGAGGATTTCTCTGCCGATGCTGCCCCTTGTGGGTGGAGTATCTCCTGACCCTCTCCGTCCTTCAGGCTCTCTGCCCAGTGGCTTCTCCACCTGCCACAGGGGCCATGGATTGCTCTCCTGTGTTGGACAAGGCGGGGCTGTGAGAACGATGATTAACAACTGTATTACCAACGAGGCTGCCCAGCCCCCACCGCTGGGGAAACTCCCTGACTGGGGCTTGAGTCTCCCCCCCCCCCTTCTTCTGCCACCAACTCAGAACTTTTCTCCAGAAGGACCCAAATTCCCCTATCCCTTCTAGGGAATTGGTTGTGACAGCAGGAGCAGAAGGTTCTGGACTAACTCTGGCCTGGTGCAGGATGCCTGGCAAGGGAGGGCACAGAGCAGCAAACATGTCAGTGGGCACCTGCTGTGTGTCAGGTACTCTGCCCGGGGCTGTGGAGGGAGGGGAACAAGGCCAGGCCCAACATAGGAATGTGCACGCGACAGAAAAGGCTGTGGGCCCAGAGCAGGGAGAGGTTGCTTCTTGCTGAGAGACCTTGGAGGGCTTCCTGGAGGCAGCGGTCAGCGAACTGGGCCTTGTGGCTGGGAGGATTCACACCAGAAGAAGGAGGGGTGGGCATTTCACAGGAGGGAAGCGCCTAGCACGGTGCAAAGGAGGGAATGTGCAGAGATAAGTGAGAGAAGCAGCCCAGAGTTCTGGGGTGGGGGGGTGCGGGCACGGTCCCGATGTGACGTGCAGACCGTAAACGCTGTGACGACAGGGGCACGTCCGCCACCGCGTGTATCCCAGCGCCTGCGCACAGCCCACTCTTGACCATGAACAAAGGACAAGGACAAGGAGGTGAGCTGGACCCAGAGCCTGGGGAGGAGCCGCAGAGAGTACCTCACTTTGGAGACAACACAGACCAGGGACATTTTTGAGGTGGTTTCCTTGCCAGGGGTTAACTGGCTTATTCCTCCTCGGCTCTCCCAGCTATGAAATGGGTTCCCGGGGACCTTCCAGATGGGATGTCCTGGAGTCTGGGACTATGCTAAGGGCCTCAAGAGACCTTTACGGTGCTGGGCAGACTCTAGGGCTCGGAGGTCGGGCAGGGGAATCAGGAATGCTCCCTGGAGGAGGCAGTGGTGAGGCAGAGTTCTATGGAGGCTGGCTGGGGAGAGGGCGCCGGAGGAAGGGCAAGGTCACAGGTGGGGAAAGCAGGCTAGATGCAGGCCGAGTAGGACAACAGAGTTAAAGGGGAATTGGACCTGAGTGGAAGGGAGAGGCCAGAGTGACTGCCTGTCTCAACACCTCTGACTCAAGCTGGCCAGACTCACCGCCTTTGCACCTGCCACCCGTGCTGCCCCAGGGCCCGAGACCATGGCCACAAGGAGCCCCTGTTGGACTAGAGAGGATCAAAGTTCCCCCCCCCCCTTAGCTCGGAGGGGCTGCAACCAGCCGGATTCTGGGTAGCTCACCCTGAAAGGGAGGGAGGGAATTCTTCTGCCCCACCTCTGGCTCTGCTGTGGGCTGGGGCAGAACCAGGGATGCTGTTGTCGAAACCCCCAAGAACTTAGCCCCAAACCATTGAGCAGGGGCCAGGTTGCTAGGATGGAAGCTCTCTGTCATCTTCCAATTGCACATGACAATTGTCACTGAGGTGGCAGCCCATGACAGCTGAGGCTCCAGGAGGAAGAATGACTTGCCTGGAGCCTCCCAGTAAGGATCTAGCATTTTGTCCATGGAGCTCTGTCCTCTGACAGCTGAAGCTAGATTCATTTTGTCCTTCCCATGGTGGCTGATATGTGAAGATCCCAAATGTGATCCCCATTCCCCAATCCCAAAATACCTCCCACTCCCCTGTCCCAAGGGCCTGATGTATTCACTGATGAGTCAACCTTCCCTGACAGGTCGTCCGTCTCCTTGACCCCCCCCATGGTCAATGGGCAAGACCTGTTCAGCAGGCCACCTGGATGTGTCCTTAACCAATCCCCTTGTCACCATCCACATGGCCCCCCATCTCCAACTCCCTGCTGGACTCCAGCCCCACGCTCATCTCCCAGCTCCCGGGCTTGCCACTCCAGTCCACCCTCCTCTCTGAAGCCTGGAGATCTTTCCAGAACACAAAACTGAGCAAGGCTCTCCCCTCTCAAAAATCCTTCCATACCTGCCCATTGCCCTCAGGATGAAGTCCAGATTCTCATTGACAACTCCAGCCTCAAGTTCTGCCTCCAGCCCCACCATCTACCCCATTACTTTATTCTAGCCACATGGACCTTCTTTCAGTTCCTTGAAAATGCCAGGCTCTTTGTATAGCTCTTCCCCCTATCTGGAACTCTCTCTCTTGCTCCCCCACACCGCACTTCCTTCCACTCCTACCCTCCTCAGATCACAGCTTAAACCCTCGCTTCCTTCCTTCAGCCCCCACCTTCCTCTGTGTCCTCACAGGTCTCTGGCCTCCCTCTCATGCTCTCATCACATTACACTGTGATCACTGGTTTGTTTGCCGGGTCTTACATGGAAGGCTGTGAACTCCTTGAAAACAGGATCTCTCCTGTGTTCCTACTTGTAGCTCTAGGACTTAGCACTCAGTAGGTGCTCAATAAAATATGTTTATTGACTAGGTAAGAGGTGGATGGTTGGATGGATGGGTGAATGAATGAATGGATGATGGATGAAGGATGGGTAGATGGATGGAGGAATGATGGATGGATGGACAGGTGGATGGGTAGAAGGATGGATGAATGAATAGGTTGATGGATTTCTGAATTTCTGAACTACAGATTTCTGAACTACAGCTTGGGCATAGCTTACATTCTATCCCAGGGTCTCTTTCACTCCAGAACAAATTATTTTTGGTCCAGTGTGTCCCATCAGTCCATGAGACACACTTGAATTCTCCTGTCATAAATGAGGCAGAAGAATCCAACCAAGGCACTCATTGACTCTTTTCCCATCTAGTTTCCAACT